GAATGTGTGTCTCGTCGTGTGCCATCACTATAAGGGATTAGAATATACTATACTTTATATATTATACAGGCTACACTAACATGACATTTAGGCGGTTCGTTTAGCTATTATACGTGATGTAATTTGTTTGTTTGTTTGGGGGGGGGGGGTAATGGAAGTGTCCCAAAACGCGACATTAATTTCTTGACGACCTAATAGTAACTAAAATATTAATCCATGTCCGTATCTTATGTGTGAATCAAAATTGAAACAATTTTGGACAGAAATAAATTTTGACATATATTATTACCACTTTTTATTATTTTAAAACATTTGATCATTCACAGTTTGTGTCGGACAGATATTTTAATTTTTTATTAGCGAATGTTTAGTGATATATTGCTATCGCTATACTCGATAAGTGGTATGTATGTAACTATGTATTTATATGTTTATTGGCTATAGGTATATTATATACGTAAATTTCGGGCTACGTGATGTTTTTTATGAAAGAAAGATTATAAACAACTACATTCATACTTTGTGTTGTTTTAGTTTGCATAGTTGAGTTATTTTATTACTGTATAGCGTGTTTAGAAGTTTATCAGTTATTCTGAGTATGTGCAGTTGTCACATAACACATAAGCTGCTTTCGTTCTGGCTGTCTTTTATCTTTGTAATTCTCTTAGCCTACCCATGGTTATGGCTATAATGTTACACTTCGTGCAAGGATGTTGATAGAAATGTCTTCCAATAGTATGTTAGGTGATGGTTCAAGGTTACTACCTCCCTTAAGTTTAAGTAAGAATGACCAGTAGACAATGCAAGGTTTAATCAGCCTGGTGGGTAAATCCAGCCAAGTCAGTTGGACAGAAATTATTTCTGAGACAGTAAAAGCGACCGTCTGTCATCGTAAAAACAAGTACACAAATTGTGTTTATGTTAATGTGAATAATAAAGATTATTGTTTTGTGTTCTACATTGTATCCAATCTCTTTATATAATTCTCACAAACTCAGTTATTCAGTGAAATTCAAAGATACTCTGAAATAAATATCTTGACGAATCTCCTGTTATTCAATGGACTTATCTCATCGCTCTAAGGAAAATAAGTTTTACCTGAAAAATCACAATACTACAGTAGAAAAGGTTACCTGCAACATTTGCATAGTGATGAAATCCTATAAATTTGGGTAGGTGACTGTAATGAATTTATTATTATATATTTATTTTAATATCAACGTTTGTTTAGATTGAGTTTGTATTCAGAAATATGCATAGCTTACTGTTAAATATGTATTATGAAACTCCTACCTATTCTCCAAAGTTGTAGAAGATTCTCGAGAGTAAGAATCAACAATATATATATATGTACATAAACGCTTAAATTTGTATTGTTATGTAATCTGGAGACACGCCTATAAATATAACCAACGCGACGCGCCAAAAAGATTATATATTATTAGTTCGCTATAGTCAGTGTGCTATAATCTTTGGAAACTATAACTGTGATTATTATAACGCTTATCAATCGGAAAACTTCAGATATATGACCAGGAACATGTGCATATTTACGCAAATATTACCTAACGTCACGATGGAAAAACCCTGTGTGTGTGGCTGATAAATAACGAAGGACAAAGCCAGCTAGCTTCCCGTTAAGTGAATCATACCTATTATGTCAACTAGCTCATCGTGAACCCTCGATAAGATATTCAAGAAGTTCCAGACTAAAAGGAAGACTTTATATTGTTTGCAAGTTTGTTAAACTTTGTTTATAAATCATTGTTTGTAATAACTATTTGCAATAACTGTTATTGTAAATTGCATTGTTGTGTGTGTATATTAGAACATATTTGTATAAAAGAAAACTGTGTGTATCAATCTTGTT